TTGTTGAGTCATCTGAGGTCAAGAATGGGCTGCCATCCTCCATTTTTCTTTTCTGTTAAAAAATAACGGGAGTAAAACCCCATTTCTTTGTGCTGGTCGGGCTCCTATTTGCAGGAGATGTTGTACCTCTTGGTGGAGCAAGTGGCCGTGAGAGGGGTTCCTGAAGAGGGATGAGGTGGGTGGGGGGTATGGACAGGAAGGGAATGGAGTAGCCCATTCTGATGACCTCTAGGGCCCATTTGTCGGTAGTAATGTTCTCCCATTTGTGGTAAAAAAGTAGCAAACAGTGCCCAAAAATATGGGTAGGTAATATGAGCGCTGGAGTGGGTGGGAAGTCTTCTATACCATCGACCAAGGCTTCAAATCTGCTTGTTAGGTGGAGGGGGTTGGGAAGGTGTCAACAGAGTGAAGCAGCGACGTTGGTACCTAGGTCTCTGGCGTTCTTGCTGTTGGTGATCATATGGCCTCTGGTGTTGTTGAGTGTAGGTCGGATATCGTGGACGTTGATATGGCTGATACCTATATTGTCTCCTTCTAGTCAATGGTGTGTGGATGCCTAGGGACCTGAGAGTCGCTCTGGAATCCTTCATGGTATGCAACACTTTTTGGTCTTTGTGGAGAATAATTTGTCTCCATCAAAGAGGAGATCTTCCACAGTATTCTGAATCTCGTGTGGGAAAGAAGATGATGTAAACCATGAGGCCCAATGCATCACGACTGCTATTGCAGTGCCCCTCAGAGACTACGGCTTTGAATTGCTGTCTCTTGCCCTCAGGAATATCGGTAATGAAGTCCATGAGTTTCCCGTAATTTCTGTGGTCACATTTGGCCAATAGGGCCACGTAATTAGCCACCCTGAATTGTAGTGTGGACGACACAAACTTTTCGACCGAGTAGGTCCAACCTTTTACAGTAACTCCTCACTTAACGTAGTTATGTTCCTGAAAAATGCAACTTTATGTGAAACGATGTTAAGCGAATCCAATTTCCCCATAAGAATTAATGTAAATAGGGGGGATTAGGTTCCAGGGAATTTTTTTTCGCCAGACAAAAGACATTATATACACATACAGTATAAGTTTTAAACAATTTTAAACAAAGAGTTTAATATTGTACACAGCAATGAATGTTTGTGAAGCTTGGTTGAGATGGTGGAGTAAGAGGGTGGGATATTTCCCAGGGAATGCCTTGCTGCTCAATGATGAACTAGCACTCAGCTGAGCCCTCAAGGGTTAATACGCTGTTGTTAATGTAGCCTCACACTCTACAAGGCAGCATGGACTGAGGCAGGAGGGAGGAAACACAATAGATGCAGGGCAGTAGCTACAAACACTTCCCTGCAAAAACTGAACATGATGATGAGCCCACGCTATCCAGCTGGAGCGCAACACTCCCTCCTCCTGACAGCACATGCACGGCTGCACAGGTGCTGACTTTCCAACCTGCTGGGGGATGCATGCATGAGTGAGAGAGAGAGACGTGCATTGCCCCTTTAAGTACACGGATCCCACTTCAAGTATGTTGCCCTTTTAAGCATATCAGCCAGTTCAGACAGGAAGCAACAGTTTCCAGCAAGCTCCCTCCTTTCTGTCCCTGAGCCCTGTTCCCTCTCCTCCACTTTGTGGAGAGGGGGTAAGGAACGGGGGTGGGTGGGCAGGAGCAGGGGGACATCCTGATATCAGCACCCCTCTCCCCCCGCAAACAGGAAGCTCCCGGGAGCATATCGAGGGCAGGGCAGGGCAGGAGCAGCAGGGCAGTGGGGGGAGGGCCACCTGAACTGCTGCTAGGCAGCTGCCGAGCCACACACCTTACAGGGAATTTAGGGGAGCTGATGGGGGGCGGGGGCTGCCAGCCCCCTTGGTTCTAATCCCCACAAGGAGGGGCTGCTCTTCCAGAGAATCCTGCGAGCAGTGGACAAAGCAGGCAGCTGCCAAACGACATTATAAGGGAGCATTGCGCAACTTTAAACAAGCTTGTTCCCTAATAGATCAGCAACGTAACAACAAAACGTTAATCAGGACAACGTTAAGTGAGGAGTTACTGTACTGTCTTTGTCAAAGGGGGTGGACGGGAGATGCTGTTGTTTGTTCCTTTGGTTAGCTGCTTCAACTACCAGTGAATTTGGTGCTCGGTGCATGAAAAGGAACTCTGAGCCCTTGGAAGGGACATAGTATTTCCAGTCTGCTAGCTTGCAGGTAGGGGTTATAGTGGCCGGTGTTTGCCACATATTCTTGGCAGGATCCATAATGGCTGCATTAATAGGAGAGCAATCTTAGATGCACTGGAAGGTTGCAGAATGTCAGTCAGCTCATGCTGATTTTCAGGTACTTCCTCCAGGGTAATCTTAAATTCATTAGCCACTCTTTTGAAGAGATCCTGAAAATTAGAAAAATCATCCGCTGTTGTTGGAGGTGGGGGCATAATAGCCTCGTCCGGTGGGTTAATTAATATTGTTCGGAGAGGTGTCAGATGCCTCTTCTTCTACGTGCAGCACTGCGGGTTGTTCCTGTAGTTCAGTCGCAGATGTATGCACAGGTTCAAGAGGAGATGCGGTGTCACCTCTTCTGGGGCTGTGTCGGTCACCATGGTGTCCCTGTATGATCCCCAGGGGCCACATTAATGCCACTGTTTGGGAAATGGCATGGGTGGTCCCATCCATGGGTGTGCATACCAGGATGGTAGGTCCTTGGAGTATGAAGACCTTGATCTCCTGTGTCCCATGCTGACTGGGGTCTTGAGTTGGGAGGAATGGTATGGTGAAAAACCTCCCTGAACATCGGCATCCTCATAACTAGAGAAGTGAGAAGGAATATGAGATAGCTGTCGGGGCCATGTTGATAGGTCTGGTGAGAGATCAGTATCAAGCAGGGACTATAGGGTCGGTGATTCCAGCAAATCCCTTGAATGAACAAACTGCAGTGCCGCAGTGTTTGCAGCCAGAGTGCATTCTGTTAGCTGCAATTGCGGTGTCATGGGGTCGGGTGGTCCCGAATGCCGCTGTGCCGTAGGGGCAGATATAGTGGCTTGAGGTGCTGGTGCCACAGTAGCAACCGCACTAGGCTGTGACAAGGGCAGGCTCAGTTGAGTCGACACCAGGTGCTACATGAGAAGAGGCAGGCAACTTTAAGCCTGAAGCCCTGGCGTCGGGATGGTGTGCCTTGGAAGCAGCCAGGGTACGTGCGGTGCCGGAGGTGCCTGGCGCTTCATATGTGCTGAGCCATGGAGCGGTCGGCACCGAGGAGACAGACCTGCTCGGAGATCATTTGGGAAGCGGTAAGTCTTTGTGAGGCGAGGCAGGTGGTCGGTTTTTTGCCTTTTTTTTAATCTTTTGCTGACCGAGGAGGGCTTTGTGTCGATGAGGAATCCGCACCTGGGTCGGAGGCAGGTACGAGGGACTTTTCCATTAATATTAACTTGAGCCTGAGGTCTCTGTCTTTTCGTGCCCTGGCTTTTAATTTACTACAGTGGATGCATTTCTGGGGGATGTGGGACTCCCCCAAGCGGCGAACACATTGAGAGTGGCTGTCCGAAATAGGGATGGCATCTCTGCACGTAGCGCAGCACTTAAAAGCTGGTGAGCCAGTCATATTATGAACTAACTGACAGGAAAAATGGGAAGGAAGAAAAAAATGGAGGTTTTTTTGTTTGGTTGGTTTTTTTGAGGGACTGGGAAAGGAAAAATAAAACGTATCTGACTAAATACAGGGTAAAACTGTGTAAAACTAACTAGACTAGCTAAAAGCAAAGAAGTTTTTCAGCAACTCTGCTGAGCTCCATCTCAGGCCAGGGACGGTAGAGAAGGAATTGAAGAGACCGGCCACGCACATGTGCTATTGAGACATGGTGGGCATGTGAGGCAGGCACCGCGCATGCACGGCCCGTGCGAGTACTGCTGTAAAAATCTCCGAGCGAAGGTATAGGGACACACCAACACCTGGAGTGCTGCACCCACAGGGACACTTATCTCGAAGAAGAATGGGCTCTTCAATCTAGTAGAGAAAGGTAAAACACAATCCAATGGCTGAAAGTTGAAGCTAGAGAAATATTAGACTGAAAACAAGGTGTAAATGTTTGACAGCAAGAGTAATTAACCACTGGAATAACCTACTGAGTGTTGTGGTGGATTCTCCATCACTGACAATTTTAAAATCAAGATTGGATATTTTTCTAAAAGATCTGCTCTAGGAATTATTTTGGGGAAGATCTACAGCCTGTGTTATGCAGTGGTTCCTTCTGGCTTTGAAATCTATTAATCTATGAAGACATTTTTCTCAATGTATATTTTCTGAGATAATATTTTAATTAATCTTTCCAAAAAACCTGATATGTCTATGTTATCAATATTAAGACTAATGACCATCAATTAGTGGCATCTTTCCTCCACAGATCTTACTGTGCTCTGCAAACTTCACTCATTTATTATACACTGTTTATACACTAGCATCATTTCACCCCTGAAATACAGCCTCCTCTGGATAGAATGTGGCAGCTGTTAAATAGCTAATAGCAACACTACACAACAGCTTAGGAGAGGAAATGGAGAATGCAGAATCTAACTGCAGTCGTAATTTAAGGAGGTAGATTACAATCATCCAAACTGGAATCTGGCCAGAACACAGAAACTCATACAAACCATTGCAAAAAGTTTCAGGGGAATTTTTAATGGCCATAAGAGCTTGGGATCTAAATTTAATATCTCACCTAAAAGAGAGTCCCACAAGCAGCAAAGAGCCCTTGGTACTGAGTTGGGGCACCGGTGCAAATCTCAGTCAAGCAGAGGAAAGATGCTGAATCATTAACACTTCTGGCAACATCTAACCCTCAGCAGTCCCTCTGAACATAAATCTCCAATTCTAAGCGGAAGAGAATGGACAGTCCATATGGGGAACACTAAGCAATTATCCCCTTATCAGAATGTTTAGACCTATCAGTATTTTGATCCATTACATTTGCAGGACCCACTGGTGGTGAAAAATGTGGTAAAGCAGATAATTCCTTACCGGCAAGAAACTCCACTCCTCGGTCTTTGGGTCATATTTTTCCACCACGTCAATAGGTGACTGCTGACTGCCAAAGCCTCCAATCACTAACAGAACTTCGTTAGCCCCTGTAGAAAAAAAGTCCAGAGTCAAGTTAATTCCTCTGCCACCAAAGGGTCACCTAGAAAGAATCCTTTAATGAAACTTTTGGATCCATCCTGGAGGGATGGTCTGTGGCAGGAATGATGGGGCACAGCTGCCTCTTTAACTGAATATTGCTGTCACTTCTCTTTGTTTCCCTCCCTGCACCATATAGACAATATTCAGCCTTCCCCACACCTCAAAGTGGCTGGTCCATGCTCCTCCTAGCTTATTCTCACAAGAATTGTTCTCCTTTCTCATCATCTAAGCTACCCCTCAGATGCAGGCCAGAGAGAGCACCCTCCCTCATTCACCATTTCACTGTGAGCATCAATGCCCTATACCCTCCTCATGCAACCAGTTGCTGCTGTACCTACCTAGCTACCCCACTGAAGCACAGTAGGAGACTTATCCTGATGGAAGGAAGCAATTCAGCTACAAAATACTTATAATTAAAGGCAGAAGGGATGATTTGGGGGAAGAACTATTTTCTGAAAATATTAAATTCCAAATAAAGTCTTTTTCAGGTGACCATGAAGTTAACTGTGTTAAATATTTCTCCTATAAAGGAAAGAAAAGAGTTCTGTGCCCTTTTTGCTTCTTTATCATGTATAAGGAAGGCCTGAAAGGATTTTTCCTGCCTGTTCTGTTTAGCTTAGAATTATCAATAATATCATGTTTCCTCTTCTGTTTTTTTCTGGAAGTCTCTTGGAGGCCCAGACTAGTGGAATGGGAGCCTATTGAGCCCCTGCTTAAAGGGGAGCAGTGCTGGATCTTTAACATGGAAACTTATTTTTCCTCCAATGTTTGTCAGGAGTTTGAGTTAAATAAGTAAATAAATACATCAAAGAACAGTGTAATCGTTTCAAAATCTCTTCCCCCACTCAGTTGCCCAGTTTCACCTCCTTGCTACTCATATCATCATCATCCTACTACTTCCCAAGTTGTCCATAATACTGCCAAGTAAAACAAGGATAGCCAAGCCCTGAAAAGAAAAAATCCTAAATATTCTGCCTAATCCTTCCTTGTACATCACGGGGGGGGGGGGGGGGGGGGGGAGGGGAAATCAAACTATTTCTTTCCTTTGCAGTCACCTTAAAACTATGTAAACAAGCAAATGATTTTGAAGCATGTATTTTATCCCAAAGCTCCACAGAGCTCTCTCCCATTTCTGTCTGATTTCTGCCTGTTCTCTGATGGTATGTCTACACAACAATTTAATCCCAGGTCTCAGGCAAGGCTCAAGCCAAATCCCCCTTGCATACACACTGCAAATATGCTAACCTAGGGCTCAGACCCAGGATCGCTCGACTGGAGGGTCCGAGTCATAGAATCATAGAAGATTAGAGTTGGAAGAGACCTCAGGAAGTCATCTATTCCAATCCCCTGCTCAAGGCAGGACCACCCCAACTAAATCATCCCAGCCAGGGCTTTGTTAAGTCGGGCCTTAAAAACCTCTAAGGAGGGAGATTCCACCACCTCCCTAGGTAACCCATTCCAGTGCTTCACTACCCTCCTAGTGAAATAGTTTTTTCTAATATCCAACCTAGACCTCCCCCACTCCTCCTTGTTCTGTCATCTGCCACCACTGAGAACAGCCTAACTCCATCCTATTTGGAACCCCCCTTCGGATAGTAGAAAGCTGCTATCAAATCCCCCCTCACTCTTCTCTTCTGCAGGGTTAACTGGGTGAAATTTTATGGCCTGTGTTATGCAGGAGGTCAGACTAGATTATAATAGTTCCTGGGTGGGAGTTGTCGAGAGAGATGAAAAGCATTTTTGCCCTGCAAAAGGACTGGCATGCTGCTTCTGCAGGCCAAGAGCAACTGACCTCTAACTACATTGCAATCAATTGAGCTCAACTCTGCAGACCTGTCAGAAAGGGAGATCGTAACTTCAAGCAAGAAGGAGGCTTGCTAAGGCATGTGTCAAAGAGAGGCAAAGGGCTTATTTTTGCTCTTTAACACTGAAGTATCTCTTCCTACCTCCCTGGTGTTTTTAATGATCCGGGTAAAGGGGTAGAAAGAAACTATCCCACCACGTTGGGATACACGTCTAGAAGCATGGACAACTCTGAGGGGAAAGACAGTCTTGTGACTAATACACAGAACTGGAAGTTAAGGCGATCTGGTCTCTACTCCCAGCTCTGCCACAAATTCACTGTTTGTTCTGAGTCAAATCACTTCCATTCTCTGTCTCAGTTTCCCTCTGTACAATGGGAATATTACTTGCTTCCCAAAGGGTTGTGAGAGTTAGCTCATTAGTATCTGTGAAGCATTGAGATCATCAGTCAGAAGGCACTAGACAAGCATCTAAATACAATACCTGGCAATGTCCCAGAGAACCTCCTGAGTGTCTTTTCCTTTGTTGCTCACCTAGACGTGCTCTGGTCCTGGGTCCTTGCATCTGACTCCGGAGCTCAGGCCTTAGGTGGAATTTCTTAGCTTCATCTACAAGGTCTCTGCACTGCAAACTGCACCGTATAAAAGGCTGGGAGAAAACATGCATATGTTGTATGTTTGATTTGTTTTAAATTCCCTAGAAACAATCATGTTAGAACCAGTTCCACTGGATTTAAATGACATTAAAACTCTGACTTGCATGATGACCTGCTGGCAACAGAGAAAGGCTGAAAGTGCTACAGACGAAAAAAGGCCAAAAACCTGCACAGTGCCAGATACTGCAGGGTTCCCTAACTGTGGAAGAACAAACAAGACCAAGTAAATTACCAAACTAAGATAAACCAATTTAAGCAATATTTAAACCAGTTCAACTATGTCTGTGCTGGGGATTGGCATCAGGGTAATAATATTAGTTTTAGATCAATTTCATTATGGCAGTGAAACCGTTCTAATGTAGTTTGCTGCAGGAAACTCTGCCCTGCTTGGTGAGGGTAACACAACTAGGAATCTCCAGCTGGGTAAGGATAACACTATGGATTATAGGTAAAGCTGCGTGTCTGTCACGGAGGTCATGGAAGTCACGGATTCTGTGACTTTCCATGATCTTCGTGGCTTCTGCAGCGGCCGGTGCTGGCTCAGGGGCTGCCCAAGATGGGGATGCCAAAGATGGGCAGCCCATGGGCCAGCAGCAGAAGTTTGGGTGTGTGGGAGGGGGCTCAGGGCTAGGGCTTGGAGTGCAGGGCGGAGTGCATGTCCCTGCAGTTCCTAGGCGGAGGGGCCAGGGGGCTCCACATGCTGCCCGTGCCCGCAGGTACGGCCCCCGCAGCTCCCATTGGCTGTGGTTCCCGGCCAATGGGAGCTGCAGTGCCAGTGCTTGTGTCGGGAGCAGTGCGCAGAGCCCCCCTGGCCACTCCTCCCCCTAGGAGCTGCAGGGACATGCCAGTCGGAGCCGGGAGCCCGCCAGCCCCGCCAACCCTCCCCACCCAGCATCAGCAGGGGTCCTGGGCCACGCACTGCCACCCACCCCGCCCTCGCCAGCACAGGTCCTGGGCCGCGCGCTGCCACCCGCTCCCTCCAACATCCCCAGACCGCTACCCCAGATCACCCGCAGCCCCCTGCCCCAAGTTTTAGTTACGAGTATATAGTAAAAGTCATGGACAGGTCACGTCCATGGTTTACTGCCCGTGACCTATCCATGACTTTTACTAAAAATACCCGTGACTAAAACGTAGCCTTAATTAAAGGCCATCACTGAAGGGAAACAGTATGGAAAGAGTCCCCAATGTGTTCTATTGAGATATTTGGGGCTGAACTATGGAATGCAAAGGAATAATAATATTGACTCTTAACCTTTCTATATCACAGGATCACTGTGCTGTTTATACCTCGGTGTCTATGACATCTGTGATGTAGCGTGGGGTAAGAAGCGGCATGCGCACGTACTGCAGCAGCTCTGGCAAGGAGTCCTCCCGTTCCTTTTTTGAGTGTTTCACCCAATTTATAACTGCCTCAAAAACAGGTTCTTCAGAATCCACCTAAAAAGAAAAAGCACTGATCAGAGTTCAGAAAGGGTTGTTCCAGTGGCTGGATTTGGGATGAACAATAACTGTCCAGATTGTTGACTCTGCTTCTCAGTTAGCAAAAAGGTTGAATTCTTAAGCAACAGTTTATCATGAGGGTTTCTAAGAATGATATTTACAAACGATCACCAAGAAGTTCTCTTTGATTTTTCCTATTTAAAGTGCCACCCAATTGTTTCCTTTTATATCACCACCTCTCCCAATAGCTTTCTGGAACTTTCTGTAGCCATTAGAATTTACTCATCATTAACCCTCTGCAGCCCATGTTCAAATGCCCAAACACTAACCTCTTAACACCAGAGGCTCTAGCTTTCTTGGTCCATTTCTCCCCACTTGAAGAAACCAACTTTCAAATACCCACCCCCTCCCAGAGATATTTACTGACTCTGGAAAACTGAAATCTGTTGCAGACAGCCCTGAGCACTTTGGCTAAGCTCTGAAAATACAAATTGTTTGACTGTCGGTAATTCCAGGGCACACTAAAAGTGCAACCACTAAGGAGAAGGCTCGTAAGTAATTAAGGTTTCAGCAAATCACTGGGGTTGGGCAAGAATCAGCAATGGGACATGAGTACCCACTTTACAGCCAGCATGACTAGTGATTTCATTCCAGTCATATAGGAAAGTCAGCTTCACTTCCTATGCTTTGGATTCTGCATCTCAAATGGGTCTTGCTTCAGAAGTAAGGGCAGGCCAGATGTTAGGCAGATGCAGGGTCTGGTAAAACCTCATGGGTTTCAGCCACAAGATGATACCCCAGCCAAACCAAGTGAGCACATCAGCAAACCCTTGGAGGATGGGGTAGGTTTAAAGATGAGGCAAAGCTCTTACCAGGAGAGCTCAGAGAGCACAGCCCCAGGGATAAGGGGGCAGTTCTACATACAGAAACTCACTCTGAAACATAAAGCATACAGCCAAGATCGGTCACTTCCCTTTAAAACTATATCTGAAGTTAAGTTTCTTCCTTTCAGTATTGTACTTAGTGGGCTTGATCAAAAACACAGCATAAAATCTAAACGTATCAAAGGCATTAATTGATACTCTGAGAGCATCCTTGAAATACATAAGCAAGCAGAAGTGATCATGCCCTTCTCTGTTAATACCCAAAAAGAAGATCCCCATACCTAACAAATCTGCTACTAAAATCCCACTTTAGAGACAGGAGAAGCGTCTGTAAACCCCAGGAATTTGAACAACACCAGCTTTATTTCCTCCCCAGTGTAACGTCTATAGAGCACTCACTGAAATAATGGCTGAGGCAGATCTGAATGTTACAGGATCCTTAATTCTGTGAAAACAAGTGATATTGCCACTTATATAGTGTCCCCATGATAAAAAAAATCAATCTCCAGAGTAAGGGCTGGTACAGCATTAAAATCTCAGCTCCTGAGCTGAGTAAAACTACCATCCACACATGGGTTGCTGTCTCCTGCTCTCCCCAACACTCATCCTGCTGCCAGGAACACTCAGAGCTCATCGCATCCATTCCCCCACCCCCTTGAAACAGAAAAAAGGCAAATGGGAAAACAGAGGGACAACAGGACCAGCACATGAGCATCAACAATCCCAATCCAGGCATGCTGGTGAACTTCAGAAGCCCAAATTTACACCCACTTGTTTGCAACCTGGGACGCGAATCTTGGACAGTTCCTGGAATGGCCATAATGGCTGCTACAATACAGAAATTTGGTTTAGCCCAATCTTTACAAGAATGACTGCAGGGTAGCAATGCATATAGTCAAAACTTGATGGAGGAGTGCATCGTGCTATGCTCGATGATGCAGCAGTTAGATGGCTGAACAATCTAGATATCAACTTCTGATGCATATGAAAAAACAATCCCAACCAGCCCAGCAGCCTTGAAAGAGGTGCGCTGCCCAGCCAAAGGGCAGTTGTGATAGGATAGACACACCCTAATTTTGAAAAGCTCATGTTTATTGATTTTTTAATTATCAAAGGACTTTTTAAAAGAAGCATAAATTTTCAAGGCCTTTCAAATTCCATGGTGCCCCTTTTACTTCGAAGAAAGCAAATTAAACAGCTCTCCTGGACTGTTGTGATGTTTCTTGGTTTGTGTTTGTCTCATTTACACTGTACATGTTTCAGGCCAGGGAATGTATCTTACTTAGGTTTGAAAATTACTGTTTACATTTACTGTAAGATGCATTATAATCAGAATACAGTCAATTAATTAATTAATTCAGGACTGAATCCTGCCACTTCAAATGGCAAAACCTTCCTGACATATAAACCTTTGATTAGTTTTTACATATACTGGATCTACTTCCACTTTATAGGCTCCATGAAAATATAAAATGCAGCTTACTAAATCAGGGCAGTCACCTGGTTAGAGATAATTTTTTTTAATGCTGACAATGTATTTGGCACTGTATGAGACACAGAATGAAGTGGTCCCTCCCTGAGAAACTCACAGTCCAAAAGAAATTGAGTAACATCTCAGGCTTAAAGAGAAATTCATACTTCTACCATCTTGATGCAGCAGATCTGGAGGTATGTCTTACAAATAAACAGCTGTCTAGTCCAATGATCAATTCTCAGAGCGGCCATCACTCCCAAGTACCTGCACTCCTCACAAACAGATCAATACAGTAGGAAACAGAACAAAGAGGTCACTAGTTTGGTGAACCTCTCAGTAGTGGCTCCATTCAGTGACCAACTGCAGAGCTTTGGCACATATCTGAAACTTCATCTCTTGTATGTAGAAGTACATTTTAAAGACACTGATAATGTAAGAATCAGATGCTGCAGACACACACATTTCTTAACCAAAAAGAGAACAAATAGGTAACTAATAAATAATGATTGCAGTGTTTGTAAGCTATACTCTCTGTCCCGTTCCCTTCATATCTCTTCAGACTAGATTCTTGGCAGAGACCATCTTCCTATGTGTTTGGAAGGCACCCAGCACAGTGTGGGCATAAATATTTTCTAAGGCTCCAACCCTGCAAACGTTTACATATGTACTTAGCTTTACCCACACAAGCAGCTGCAGAGATGTCACTGGGACTGCTCACACAAGCGAAGATAAGCACATGCATAGGTGTTTGCAGGCTCAAACTCCAACAGTAATAAGAGATGGTTACTCACCTTTGTAACGGCTGTTCTTCGAGATGTATTGCTCATATTCATTCCAATTAGGTGTGCGCGCGCCGCATGCATGATCATCGGAAGATTTTTACCCTAGCAACACTCGGTGGGTCGGCTGAGGCGCCCCCTGGAGTGGCGCCTTTATGGCGCCGGATATATGCCCCGGCCGATCCAGCACCCCCTCAGTTCCTTGTTGCCGGCTCCTCCGACAGAGGGGAAGGAGGGCGGGTTTGGAATGGATATGAGCAACACATCTCAAAGAACAACAGTTACAAAGGTGAGTAACCGTCTTTTCTTCTTCGAGTGCTTGCTCATATCGATTCCAATTAGGTGACTCTCAAGCCTTACCTAGGCGGTGGGGTCGGAGTGAGACGTCGTACAGTGGAGAACCGCTGAGCCAAATGCTGCATCACCCCTTGACTGTTGGGACAATCGCGTAGTGGGAAGCAAAGGTATGCACCGATGACCAGGTTGCTGCCCTACACATCTCCTGTATGGGCACATGAGCCAGGAAGGCGGAGGAGGAAGCTTGAGCCCGGGTGGAGTGGGCAGTAAGGTGCATAGTTGGCACGCCAGCCAAGTCATAGCACACACGGATGCAAGATGTGATCCAGGACGAGATGCGCTGGGCGGAGACCGGGAGGCCCTTCATCCGGTCTGCCACAGCTACGAACAGCTGGGTTGTCCTCCTAAAAGGTTTCGTTCGTTCGATGTAAAAGGCAAGGGCCCTGCGAACATCTAGGGAATGCAGCTGTTGTTCTCATCGAGAAGCATGCGGTTTCGGATAGAAGACCGGAAGGAAGCTGTCTTGGTTGACATGGAAGGCAGACACCACCTTAGGAAGGAAGGCAGGATGTGGTCACAGCTGTACCTTGTCCTTATGAATCACCGTATACAGTGGGTCCGAAGTAAGGGCTCTAAGCTCCGACACACGTCTCGCCGAGGTGATAGCGACGAGGAAAGCTGTTTTCCAGGAAAGGTACAGGAGCGAGCAAGTGGCCATCGGCTCGAATAGGGCACCCATGAGTCTGGATAGGACCAGGTTGAGGTCCCACGTAGGGGCCGGATGCCAAATTTGCGGGTACAGACGTTCCAATCCCTTGAGGAACCTGCTGACCATGGGATTGGAGAAGACCGAGCGCTCATTTTCGCCCGGGTGGAAGGCCGAAATCGCTGCTAGGTGAACTCTGATGGAAGAAACTGCTAGGCCCTGCTGTTTCAAGGACAAGAGATAGTCTAAGATGGTAGGTACTGGCGCCTCCAGAGGGGCAGTATTGCTGAGCACACCAGCAGGAGAAACGCTTCCACTTGGCCAAGTACATGGACCTAGTCGAGGGCTTTCTACTACCCAAAAGTACCTGCTGCACCAAGCGGGAGCAACGTAGCTCAGATTGAGTTAGCCATGCAGCATCCATGCTGTGAGGTGGAGGGATTGCAGGTCCGGATGACAGAGACGGCCGTGTTCCTGAGTGATCAGATCCGGCCACAATGGAAGTGGAATTGGAGTGGTCACCAATAGATTGAGGAGAGTGGTATACCAATGTTGCCTGGGCCATGCCGGGGTGATCAAGATTAAGCAGGCCCTGTCTCTGCGCAGCTTGAGAAGGACCTTGTGGACTAACAGGAATGGAGGAAAGGCGTAGTACAGGCGGTCTTTCCACGGTATCAGGAAGGCGTCCGATAGGGAACCCGGGGAGTGCCCCTGGAGAGAGCAGAACACCTGGCACTTCCGATTCTAGCGAGAGGCGAAAAGGTCTATCTGGGGAAACCCCCACTTCTGGAAAACGGAATGGATAATGTCCGGGCGAATTGACCACTCGTGAGCCAGAAAGGATCTGCTGAGGCGAT